TGCCGCCTTGCAGGAGCTGACATGGACGTGTGCCTTACAAACTATGGTCACTGTAACTACGTGTCCGGGAAACACGCCTGCATATTCTACGATGAGGTGAGGGGTGGGGATGGGGTGGGAGGGAGCTCTCCTCCCCGCTCCCAGGGGTTGGGTTTTTGTTCAGTGCCCTGGAGTGAGGAGAAGGGGGTTGGGAGTCCTCTCCTTTTCTTCCCTTTCTTTTCATTCCCGGAGGAGAAGAGTCTTGGTGTGAAAGGGCACCCTACCATGGCTACCTGCTCCCCGGGAGTAAGGCTGCCATTTCTCTGAAGGTGGTCACAGGCTCAGCACGGGGAGCCCACCCTAAAGCAGGGAAGGGGACAAGCATAGAAGGAAGCCAAGCCCTCTTGGGTGTGTCCCTGTGAGTTTCATCATCATCATGTGCCAGTGAATATCATTTCAATAGGAGCCAGTGCTGAGGAGGCAGAGTGAAGGAGCAGTGGGAGAGTGGGGGGTATGGGGTGCTAGGAAGGAAGGCTTCCCGGAGAAGGTAAGTCTTGAGCCCCATTCTAAAGGAACAGGGAAGGGGGCATGATTGGGGAAGAAAGAGAGCTCCCCAGATAGAGCAGCACAGTGTTCTCCATGTGTCCTCTCTCCCCTTAGCCCCAGGCCCCACGCAGCAGACCACACATCTTATCTTCCCTCCTCCTCCTCAGAATACCAAACATTATGAGCTGTTAAACTACAGTGAGCACGGGACAACGGTGGACAACGTGCTGTATTCATGTGACTTCTCTGAGAAGACCCCGCCAACCCCCCCAAGCAGTATTGTTGCCAAAGTGCAGAGTGTCATCAGTAAGTTGGAGCAGAGGCCTGTGGCCACAAAGCCTGCCATTTTGGGACATATTCTCCAAGGCCACAGTCAGGGTGGCTCTGGCTTGCTGCCAATGATCTACTGTCTCTTGCCTCCCCATCCAGTTGGCCAGGTTCTTGCTCGTGGGCCCAGGGAAGGCCTCGGAGAAGCAAGTGCTATGCACCCACAAATGTGTACACACCTACTTGGGGACTTCAGCGCTTTCTGAGCGTCCCTCACCCTTGTCACACAGCAGTTAGAATGGGGAGGGACCCAGCCCTGGCAAAGAGCCCACGTGGGTTAGCTGCTCACTATTCCTCTCCTGTAACCGTTCCCCTTTTTCCCAGGGCGCCGCCGGCACCAGAAACAGGATGAAGAGCCAAGTGAGGAGGCAGTAATGATGAGCTCCCAGGCCCAGGGGCCACAGCGGAGACCCTGCAACTGCAAAGCCAGCAGCTCAAGCTTGATCGGGGGCAGTGGGGCCGGCTGGGAAGGCACGGCTTTACTGCACCATGGCAGCTACATCAAGCTGGGGTGCCTGCAGTTTGTCTTCAGCATCACTGAGTTTGCGACCAAACAGCCCAAAGGCGATGCCGGCCTGCTGCAGGATGCGGTCTTGGCCGAGAAGCTCTCTCTCAAGCCCCACCAGGGCCCTGTGCTGCGCTCCAACTCCGTTCCTTAGGACTGGCGGCTACCCGGTCACCCGCCTGTCCACCCAACCCAAGACTCCTGCAATGCAAAAATGTACACAAACCAAGCCCGGGTTTTTTCTATACTCCACCAGAAACCCCTCAACTACAATCTTTGCATGAAATGAAGAAAACCTTTTGACTGTTTTTTAAAAATCCTTTTTCTTTTCTCAAGTTCTAGGGGGCATTTGCACATATATTTGTACTCACCATTTCATGGGAAAGCGGCAGACCCGAGCTGAGGAACAGTGTGGGCGGGGAGGGAAGGCCCATGGTCTGGACACTTCCTCCAACACAAAACCGTTCCCAACCCACCTCTGCTCCCTCCCCCTCGCCCGCCGTTGTAAAATAATCAGAAACTTGTTCTATTTTGTGGCAGTGACAATAGTTTTATATTAAAAGAAAAAAATACAGTTTTCATACAGCAAAATCTATACAATATCATTGTTTTATTTAATATAAAGATCGCTACCCACCCTTCTTCCATGTTCCCACCCTCCAAGTTATTTTCCCTTCTGCAGCGGTTGCACTACAGGTAGCTACTGTGTATTATGGACAAATGAGAAATGAATTCTTTTTCTGGCTGTCCATCTATTTTATTTCAAATAAGGAAAAGTGTATTTGGATTTTGTGTAAATACATCTAGTGATGACATTTTTTCAATGTTTTTAAAAACTGTGTACAGTACTACATGTGGTAGAGCGTTTTCTTCAAATTGTCTATTGTAGCAAAAATGTTTTTGTCGTAAACCTGTTTTGTCTCCTTTTTTTGTTCTCTTGCCACTTCTCTCCTCTTCCTCCCACCCCCAGCTCCCTCCTCTCCTCCCATCCCCACAACTAGTACCAATGTACATAGTAATTGTAATGTTTTAGACTTTACAGAAACTTTCCTGTATTCTGTATATAAAAAAACAAAAATACTTCAAATTATGTTTTCTGCCTGTCTGTCCTACCTGTCATCACCCTTAGAGGGGACCCTCCCTGAGATCTTGGTCCCGCAGTCTCATTGAACAAGTCTCATTCCCACATGCTCAGTCTCCACGGGCAGTCAGGAGAGGGGAGGTGTTGTAGAAAAGTAAGCCTAAGGCAGGTCGGGGAAATGGAAGGGTAGGGCTGATCTGCTAGGGGGCTGTTGTATGGTTTGGTGGGTGACCTGAGGGAGTTTAGAGGGCTTGGTTATTCGACATGATCAGATTCTGCAAGAACCAGAGAGTGTGCAGGTCCCTGCTCCCGTTGGCTCCAAAACCAAGACATTAAAACGCGCTGGCATGAGACCTCTGCATTCTGGTCTAGAAGCTTTAACCTAAGGAGTTGGGGCTGCCTTTGGTCCTAATTGTTTGCTACCATATTTTATTCATCTATTCTGGGAGAAGTCATAACACCTGGTTTTGTCCTTTCCCTGTCAGCTTTAGCTGGGCATGGGATAATTCATTCATTTACTCAAGTATCACTTGAGTTCCTCCCCTGGCTTAGCCTCTGCTGGGACTTGGGTCTTGGTCTAGATCACTTGCTGTGAGCATACGGCCCCTGTCTCGGAGCTTAGAATCTAGTGTGGAGAAATTTGTTGATCCAAAGTTCTCTGGGGAGGAGCCAGCCCAGTGGCGTGGTGGTTAAGGTCTGCACGCTCCACTTTGGTGGCTGGAGTTCATGGGTTCAGATCCCAGGCATGGACCTACACCCTTCATCAGCCATGCTGTGGCAGCGAGTCATACAAAATAGAGGAAGATTGTCACAGATATTAGCTCAGGGCTAATGTTCTTCAACAACAACAAAATACATACATAAATACATATAAATTTAAACACAAAAAGTTCTCGGGAACATGAAGACAAAGGAGAAATCCAGTCTCTAGACCCAGCTGTGCCACAAGTGATGTGACTCAGAATCACATCTTTTCTACAACTGCAGCTCCTCGTCAGAAGACAAGTCTACCACGTTACCTTAATTTTAAGGCCCTGAGAACTCTCTTATTAAACCAAACTCCATCCTTTCCTCCTCTCAGACATTATGTGACAAACTTGCTCCCAGAAGTTTTTCCTGAAGACAGTCTCTGACTCCTTCGATAGCACTTGTGTGTCTATCCCAGCGCTGTTTGAGTAGGTGGGACCTGTTGGCATGTCAGGATTTTGCCTTGGGGATGGAGAATGCATGCATTTGTTTCATCAATATTCCATCTCTAGCCTCTTCCCACAGCATCTATAATTGAACCCTGAATCCATAGTGCAGCTAAATAGGAAACTTCCCCTAGAGCCTGAGGTCTGTTCCTGGCTTCCATCTACCTGCCTAGCTTTGTCACCACCACTCTGCTCCCCCTGCCCTGGTGGGCTTCTTGAACTCTTTAAAGGCAGAAGCATATATTGTTCTGCTCCGTATTTTCACGGCTAACCACACTGCTGGGCACACCATAAATGCCAAACAATGGGTGCTAAACTATACTAGGTTTCTCAGGCAAGGTCCATTCTTCTGGCAAGTCACCTGGCCAGGAATACCCTTGCCCATGCGTCCCTAGCTGTCCCCACCCACCTTGCCGTCATAGTTACTTCTTCCATTGAGTAATGGAGCTTCTTTATTTCTACCACCTGTGAGAACCATTCCAGAGACAAATTTCCTCCTGAGGATTAAATAACCGGTTTTACGCCCTGTCTTCTTCCTGTTTCCCTTCAGAAATGGAGGGGGTGGGGCAGAGGCAGAGGGATACAGATAGCTAAGAAATGAGAGTTCTGACAGCCCTTAACTGATGGTGCCACCCTGAACACACTACCGTCACCTCTGGCCTCTATGGGAAGAACCGGGAAGAGTCCTAGAAGCTGAGGGCTGGATGTGAGGAAAGGAACTGAAGGGCTTGTTTATGGAGAGCAAGGCATCCAGGACCAGACTCACTCTCTCGGACATAACAGCATTCACGTACACATGCCCCTCCAGAAGGCAAGGACTGTGCTACATACTGACACCCAGAGGGCTTACACACCCTGTTAGCTCCTCCTGCAAGGCCTTAGCTACAGGGCACGTGCACAAAGGACAGGTAAATACGAAGATGTTCATTCAAGCACACACATTGGCAGAGACTACAGACACATGCACACACCTGGAGGCACTCTCAGCCTGCATGGGCACAAACATGTAAAAGGTGCTCACGCAGGCACGCACACCCACAAGTACACACACACACACAGGATCCAGAGGCGTGCACATGACCTGAAGAGCGATCCCAGGGCCCATGGGCACATTACACACCAAAAAGTCATTCACATACTCACAGAGTATGTGGGTGCATGTACCTACCTAGGGGGCACTCCCAGGGTGCCTGTGCACACATACATGCATCCAGGAGTTCACACAGGCAACACACCTAGAGGGCGCTCCGAGGGCCCAAACACACACCTAGAAGGTGTTCGCACAGGCACACACCCAGAGGACGCAGACGCGCGCCTAGAGGGCGCTCGCAGGGTCCGCGCGCACACGCACGCACACACACACCCCTGCCCTGCCCCCGCCTCCGCCTCCGCCTGCGCCTCCGCCTCCGCCTGCGCCTTTGGGAGGCCCGCGCTCGCCCAGCGCCCTTCCAGGCCCGTGCGGAGCGGATTGACAGCGGCCGGGGGGCGACCCTGCCGGCGCGGGGCCTGGGGGGAGCCTGGAGGCGCGGCCAGCATGGAGGCGCTGCTGCTAGGCGCGGGGTTACTGCTGGGCGCCTACGTGCTCGTCTACTACAACCTGGTGAAGGCCCCGCCGTGCGGCGGCATCGCCAGCCTGCGGGGCCGCACGGCCGTGGTCACCGGTGAGTGCGGGCGGGCGGGCGGGCGGCCGGGAGGCCCGGGTGGCGGGGTCGGCGGCCCGGCCGGCTCAGCGCAGCTCCCTCCCGCCGCCCGCAGGCGCCAACAGCGGCATCGGGAAGATGACGGCGCTGGAGCTGGCGCGCCGGGGAGCGCGCGTGGTGCTGGCCTGCCGAAGCCGGGAGCGCGGAGAGGCGGCCGCCTTCGACCTCCGCCAGGTGAGGGAGGGCGGGGCGGGGCCAGCCGGGCGGGCCGGGAGCGCTGGATAGACACACCGGGACACCGAGAGGTGAGCGGGGCGGCTCAGCGGGACCCAGCCCCTGAAAGGAGAGTGCAGCTTGGTTCGTTAGGTGCAGAAGAGGGCGTGCACAGGTGTTCTAGTCACACGGGGAAGGGGAACCAGCCCCAAGCTGGGGAGTGGGCTCCCTGAAGGAAGTAATTGCTGTTCTGAGACGTTTAAAAATCGGTAGAAGTTACACTAATGAAACAGTGGGAAAGGGAACAGCAGAGGGAACAGAATAAGCAAAGGCCCCGGGGCAAGATTGGTCTGATATAAGAAACCGAGAAAGGTTTAATGAGGCTGGAGCTCAGAATATGAGGAAAAGAGGCAAAATGAAGGGGCTGGAGGCTCTGAGCCAGGGCCAGGTTCTGAAGGCCCTTAGAGACTCTATTGAGGAGATCAGATTTTATAGGATGGGCAGTGGAGATCCAGTGAGGGTCCTTAGCAGAGTCTGGACTGTCAGAATAGCCTTTTGGAACGAACCCCTTGGTGGCTGTATGGTGCCTGGACTGGAGGGGGCAAGAGTGGGTTAGAGGAGACCAGTTAAGAAGTCTGTTGTAGATTTTAGGGAAAGCAATAATAGGCAAAGGGTATGATAATGTTAATGATAGCAGGCACCTACACAGTGCTGACTGTGTGCCAGGCACTGTTCTAAGTATTTTACATATATTAACCATTTAATCCTCACCACAACTCTATGAGATAGGCACTATTATTATTATTCCCATTTTACAGTGAGAGAACCAGGCCCAGAGAGATTAAGTATCCTGCCCAAGCTCATACTCTAGAAAGAGGCAAAGTCAAGATTTCGTTCCAGAGTCTACACCCTTATCCACTACATTCTAAGGCATAGGGGCAGATCTTAGCAATCGGAGGGGGTGGACTCAGAATTTGGTGCCTGGGGAGAGGGAAGAGGAGAGAGGTACCTGGTGACAAGCCGGGCCCTTGCCGCTTCACAGGAGAGTGGGAACAATGAGGTCATCTTCATGGCCTTGGACTTGGCCAGTCTGGCCTCTGTACGGGCCTTTGCCACCGCCTTCCTGAGCTCTGAGCCACGGCTGGACATCCTCATCCACAATGCCGGTGAGGGGCAGCAGGCCCTGCAGGGGGGCGGTGGGTGGCCAGGGGCAGCTGTCCCCTCCAGCCAGGCCTTGCCGGGGGCCAGTGGACACGTGGGAAGGATGCCCCCTGCCAGCATCTCACAGACGGGGACACTGAGGCCTGCGGGGATCCCTCTGGAGCAGTTGCTCACACCTAGCCCCTGCCCCAGGGATCAGTTCCTGTGGCCGGACTCGAGAGCCCTTTAACCTGCTGCTGCGAGTGAACCACATCGGCCCCTTCCTGCTGACACATCTGCTGCTGCCCCGGCTGAAGGCTTGCGCCCCTAGCCGGGTGGTTGTGGTATCCTCAGCTGCCCACCGGCGAGGGCGTCTGGACTTCACACGCCTGAACCGCCCAGTGGTGGGCTGGCGGCAGGAGCTGCGAGCATATGCTGACAGTAAGCTGGCCAACGTACTGTTTGCCCGGGAGCTCGCCACTCAGCTTGAGGGCACTGGCGTCACCTGCTATGCCGCCCACCCAGGTGAGGCCTGGCTCTTTGGCTGCTATACTTTGCTTTGATTCCCCCTCTCCCATCCTCGCCCCATCCTGTGCTCCCCCAGCCTCTCACTGAGCCGCAGAATTGCAGAGCAGAAAGGAAGCATGGTCCAAGGAGAGACATGGTCCTTGCTGATCTTGGAACCAGGCTCTCCTTTTCTGGGTTCTTCCTCTCACACCACAAGCTTGGATGCTGACTACTGGTCAGGATATGGCAACAAATAAGGCCCAGGTTCTCACCCCAAGGAGCCATTCAAATGACTGAACTGACTCCAATATGATGCTAATGATGCTAGCCAATGATTATTCATTCATTCAAGAAGCATTTACTGAGTACCTACTATGTACCAGGCATTAATCTCCATGCTAGGGATGTAGCAGTGAACAAAACAAAGACCCCATCCTTGTAGTTACATTCTAGTTTAGGGGAGGGGGAGACAGCTAATAAATAAATACAAAGACAGGTTATGATAAAGTGCTATAGGGAAAGATAAAACAGGGTAAGAGAAATCTGAAATGACAGGGGTGCTATTTCATCCATGGCAGTCAAGGAAGACATATCTGCAAAGGTGACATTTGAGCAGAGACCAGAAGGAGATGAGAGAATGAGCCATGTGGCTTTCTGGGGAGAAGAGTATAAAGAACAGAGCAAAGAGCAAGTGCAAAGGCCCTGAGGCAGAAGTGCCTGGTGTGTTTGAGAAAGAACAGGGAGTCTTAGGTGGCTGAAACAGAGTGAGAGGGGACAAGTGGGAAGAGATTACATCATAGAGATGGGCTGGGTCATCTGGGTTCTGGAGGTCCACTATAAGCATCTTGGCTAATAGTTTGCTTGAGACAAGTGATGAAGACCCGTCCCTGCATGTTGAGAACAGGTTACAGGATAACAAGATCCTGCCCTACCCTTTTTACCATATTACATTTTAGGTACTCATTGCCTAAGCTCATTATTAATTATAATAGTGACGATAATAATTACAACTAACCCTTATCCAGCCTTTATTACACTCCATATCTCTAATGTCCAAACAGTGGCTGGTCAGATGTTAGTAAATGTTTGCTGGTTAATCAAAAGACCAAGGTTTGGGCTAGTAGAAAAGATGGAGAGAGACAGAATTGTTTGAGGCAGGGGACACAGGGTGAGCAAAATCTGGGAGATGGGGATGTCCAAGGAGTTTCGATGGAGAGGAGGAAGCTTGCTGTTGGAAATAAGTGAGACCACCTTGTAGGGGCCCTGAATGCCTGGTAAATACTACCCTGGTTTCCCGGGAACTGGACTCTGTTCCCCACTCCCTTCTAGCTGTGTTCTCGCTGCTCTTACCCTGGGCCCTCACCCACTCTCCCCCTCCTTCCTTTCTTCCTGTCCACAGGGCCTGTGAACTCGGAGCTGTTCCTACGCCACGTTCCTGGATGGCTGCGCCCACTTTTGCGCCCACTGGCTTGGCTAGTGCTGCGGGCACCGAGAGGGGGTGCCCAGACACCCCTGTACTGCGCTCTACAGGAGGGCATTGAGCCCCTCAGTGGGAGATACTTTGCCAACTGCCGTGTAGAGGAGGTGCCCCCAGCTGCCCGAGACGACCGGGCAGCTCACCGGCTGTGGCAGGCCAGCAAAAGGCTGGCAGGCCTTGGGCCTGGGGAGGATGCCGAGCCCGATGAAGACTCCCAGCCTGAGGACTCACGGGCCCCATCTGCTTTGAGCAACCCCCACCCTGAGGACCCCACAGTTTCTGAACCCTACCCCAGCCCTCAGAGTTCACCAGACTTGTCTAAGGTCACACGCCGAATTCCGGTTAAAGCTGAATCTGAGCGCCAAGGCTCCTAACCCCCGGGCTGGGATGCTTTCTGTGGCACTTGGTGGCCCTTGAAAGCCTTAGCTGTGTGCAAGGCCTTCCCTGGGCATTGAGGGGTTTGCAATTTTTACCCACATGGTTGCTTTCTGGGGCTTTAAGTCATGTCCTGGACAGCTCTTTTCCTGGCGGAAGGAAATATGGGGGGATTGTTTCTTCCTGAGAATCTCCAGATTGAGAGGCGGAGTGTAATGTGCCAGACACTGCTTCTCAGGAATTTGAATTTCATGTTTCCAGGCCCCACCCTTGGTGATGCGGATCAGCTCTGGATGAGGGCCCGGGAATTTGTAATTTGATGCACTGCCAACATGGAGAATTACTGAACCGGTCCCTTTGCAACCTGTAGCCAGATAGTTCAATTACCCCCATTTTGCACAGGCGGGATTAGGCTGCAGAGGTAAGGGACTCACCCAAGGTCTCTCAGCTCGGAAGAGCAGGGACTGACATTGGAACCCAGGCCACCGGACTCCAGGGCCGACTGCTGTAGGTGGGCGCCGGGCGGTGAGGCAGGGCAGCGCGGTCGTCACCAAGGCGCCCCGTGGGAGCAGGGGGAGGCCTTCCCGGGTGCACGGCGGCCCCGGTGCAATAAAGCGTGTTGTCTGCGGGGCCGCGCTCGTTGCCGCCTCTCTCGCCGCGCCGGCCCCGCCCTCTGCCGCTACGCTTCCGGCGGGGCTGCGACCGCCGAGGGGCCGGCCGGGCGGCCGCTGAGGGTGGCGGGATAGGCTGGGCGCGGCCGGGCGCCGGGTGTGGGCCGGCTGCTGCTGTCCAGGCCTCAGCGGTCCCCCAGGGCCCTCAGTCCCGCCGGCGCCATGGGCAATTGCCACACCGTGGGGCCCAACGAGGCGCTGGTGGTTTCAGGTGAGGGGGCGCGTCTTGGGCGGGGGCTGTGCCGGGGCGGGTGGGTGAGGAGGGGGCTGGGGGCGGTGGCCGGGCGGAGAGGGGCCGGCCCGGGGTGGGGACGAGGCGGGAGCGCCGTGTGTCGGGCCCGAGTCTGCCGCGCCTGAGACCCTCCCAGGAGAGACCCCATGCTCCCAGTGCCCGGGCCCGCGCCCTTGAGCGCTCACTGGGGTGCCCCTCCCGCCGCGGTTTCCCCGTGTTTACCACCCCCTTCTCCGCCTCCTCCCTAAGCAGGATCTGCCCTCCGTGGCCTGGGGGGTCCCGAGCCGACGCCGGGGGATTCCGGGAGGGGGGCACCGGGGGTTCCCGGAACGCAGCGGTTTGGCCAGATTCCGGCGTCCGGGACGGGGGTGGGTCGCGCGGCTCTGAAGGGCGAGTGCCTGTGGGGAGGGGCCCCGGGGCCGGATGCTTCCTCCGGGCGCCGTGAGACCCGTTAACTCCGAGCAGGCTGGGGCTTGCTGGGCTGACTGGCGTTGGGCGCTTGGGAAACGCGGGTGCTGCCTCCGCGAGTGGAGAAAGGCGAATGGCTGTGCCGCTCCGGTTGCTTAATGCTGCAGGTTCGGGCATTTCCGTGCGCTTAGGCGGGGCTTGGGGACTGCGGTATTGGCGAGGGGAGAGGTATCTGGCCTTAAGGCTGCTTTTTAAATCGTATATTTGGGTATCTTGGAAGGTGGCTGAAGTCTTTGAAGCCGTCAGCTTGGGCAGCCCTGGCTCACAGGTGCTGGGGAGGGGCGGTGTTTCCTGGCAGCGTGGAGGCCGCTGGCTGCAGGAATCCTTCCTGCCTGCCCACTGTCAATGCCGGGTTTTAGCCTGTGTGCAGTTACTAAGGCCAGCTACACAAGTGGGGAGAAGGGGGTGGGCTAGGCCAGGGCTTGTAGCTGCCCACACTTGGGGAGGTGTGATAAATCCATTGGGAACTTTTACTCCGGAACATGGCCTCTGGCTCGGTTTGGATCTCAAAATCAATCAGTCCACTGGAACAGGAAATCCCCACTCTCCCTGACCCCCTACTCCTGCGGGGGAGGTAAGATACTTCACTTCCCTAAAGACCAGAGACGGTCTCTGGACCTGGAGGGAGACCCCCTGAGAGCGCTGAGGCCAAGCTTGCACCTCCACAAGACCCAGGCCTGTCTCCCAGCCCCTACTCCTGAAGAAGGCTTTCAGAACCCGAATCTGCATGGCACTTTGTTTTCCTTGTGGAGTTTGTTTCTGAAAGTCCAGACTCTGGGCTGAGGAGACAAAAGCTCGCTCCTGTCCCTGTGGAGAGCCTTGAGACTGGGGGATGAGAGGAACACCTAAGATGCCCTGTATTTTCCAGTTGCCAGAAACCTCGTCCTCTGGCCAGGGGCCAATGCAGTGCTAGCTTTGAAGCTGTTTTAGGGGTGGGGGTAGGAGGCTGTGGTGAGAATTGAGGGTGCTGGAGTCAAGGAAGAGTGGGAGAGAAGAGCAAGAGATAATACCTAGCATAATAGTACCTTGTGATTTGAGATGATCAAGCTGAGATGCATCTTTGTCTTGCTGGTGGACTCCCAGGAGAGCAGAGCAAACACTGCCAGCCCCGCCCCCACCTGGTTACTTGGGCATCTAAGTCCAGAGACATCTCACTCAGCCCCATTTCAGGAAGAGGATACGCCTCAGGGTCATCTTTTCCACCTGAAAACTCTGGAAGTTCTTCTGGTTGTTTAACCTCCCTCCTTCATTCTGTAACATAAAACTTTTTTCTCTGTTTCTGCTTTGGAGAATTTAAAAGGGAAATCCAAATACCATACACCTTTCTCTCATCTCTACAATAGGCAGAGGTTCTTAACCTGAGGTTTGTGGATAGAATTTAGACGTCTGTGCATTTGGATGGGGGGGGTACATTTTTATTTTCAGGAACCTTACTGAAATTTCACATTTCCTATGAATGTGAATGTCGACAACAGTCCATGATAGCGTTAGCAGATATTTTCCTACCGTACTGCAGTTGTTGCAGAACCTTAAAAGTCATTTCTGCTCATCACTATTGAAATTTAGCTAGTTATTAGACCTGCCACTAGAGCTTATAATTTACATTATCACACATTTGGTTTTAATATTTTGACAACTTCCAATAGGATTTATTTCTTATGTATTTTATTTTATGCATTTAAGAACATACCGGCATTGCTGGACTACTAAGGGGGTTTGTGCCTCAAAAAAGAGTAAATCCCCCTTGTAGAGAGTGGTGTCTTCTGGAATAGTAGGAAGAAGACGGTGGAAGAGGGGCAGGAAGGAAAGAGTGTTCTTGAGAGGGCAGAGTGAGGCTGTGTCTGGGAAGGGGCTGAGTAGGGCAGAGGTTATCCTGGGCTTGGTTGTGATTCTTCAGCTTGTTTGAGGACAGGGCAAAGGAAAGCAAGTTGGGTTAGAAAAAGTGAGATAGAATTAGGAAAAACTTCCAGGTCTCAGGACAATGCGAGCTAGGGAGGTCAAGGAAGGGGCACCTAAGTGTCCCTTCTGAGAGTGATGCTCAGGCTCAGTGTGACCAGGAAGCTGGGAGGAAGATACCTTCCAGGGGAAGAGGGTGCTGAGAATGGGGTAGCCTGGCAGTCCCAGCTTCCTGTTGTTGCTAGCCCTGGAACCTGGTCATGTGGCTTGGCCAAGGCCCAGCATGAACTGCAGCAGCCCACTTCCAAGGTCAAAGAATGAGTTAAAGGTAAAGGATGGACACCCGCCCTGGTTCCCGCCCCCATTCCCCCTACACACACACACGCACACAACCACTTTCTTCCACAGCACATTGAGAAGCCCCTGGAGCTGACTGGAGGCAGCCATGCCCCAGCTCCCACCAGGCCAGAAGAAGTGGAAAAAGCTGTGATTTTTGCCTCTCTTCCAGTTTCGCTGCATCTCGACATGGTTTGGGTTTCAGATTGACTGCTTATCCTTAGAGGCTCCTCTACCCCACTCCCCAGCGTAGAGAAGCCTGCAGTGGCTTACCTTGAGCAGCAGCCCTGTGGACAGGTATTTCCACCACAGAGAAGCAGACAGAGACCTAAGACCTCCTCTTCCCACCCCTACTCACACTGCGGGGCAGCTCTTTGCTCCTTGGACCTCTGGCTCAGCTACTTGCCCACTATGCACCGCTACTGTGTCTGGCCTGGGTCACCACAAGAGGCTTCCACCCGGTCTCTTTGACCCTAGTATGTTCCTCTTGTGCAAAGTGGTGTTTCTAAAATGCAGATGTATTATTGTCGCTCCCCAGCTTAAATCCCCAAGTGACCCCCCATCTCACACACACACACCACCTCCCTGGCCTAACAACTAAGACTCTCTGTTCCCTGCTGTGGGTCCTCAGAGACTCTGTAACCCAGCTACTGGAAACTACCCCTGACCCTTAATCTTGGGAGGAACACACCCTGAGGCTTTCCTGAAGACCCAAGTTTGTGAACACAGAAGTGATGACATCCACTCGCTGTTTCCCAAATCACGTTTCCTTTGAATCGTTTCCTGTACCTTTGCGCTGCAAGTGAACTGCCCCTCCAGCTTTTGCCAGAGTTTTCTTGAACTTGATGAGTAATTTTGGCATTAGCAGGAAAGTTCATGACAAGAATTTCAGGAACTGATTTTTCTCCTTTCTATATAGAGAGCATGCCAGACGTGGCTACGGCATAAACCTGGGTCATGGCCAGATTCAACTTTCTGTTTAGCTGATACGCAGTTTCCAGGAACCACTTCCTTTTCAGATCCTTTCCCTTTCTCTTCACTTCTCCCATTGGTACCATGAGCTGGCCTTTGTTTTGAGGCCCTGCCTTTCCCATCTGCTCCCATAAGAGGAACAAAGTCACTCCAAAAGATGTGGGAATAACCAGCCTCACTGAGATGTGTCTGCTGGGCATGAGCAAGGCTCCTTCCTAGGCTCAGAGATGCCCTCCCTCCCATCAGCCTTCCAGTGTTGGCAACCCCCTGCATTCCCTCCCTCTGTCTGTGCCTGCCCCGATAGCAGGTGAATCGCATGGCATTACAATCCTCTCAGGAAAAGGTGCCTCATCCTAGTGTCATCTCCTTCAAGATAGGAATTGTATCTTCCTCCCTGTTTCCGTAGCACAGAAAAGTACTCTTTGTTGAATGAATGGTTGAATGAAAGATGGAAGCTTTTCCTGCTCACTCCTGCCCACTGACCTCTTCTCTTCTCTGAAAGCACTTGCATTCTGAACCACTCATTGGATATGCCCTTTTTTATGCAAATTGCCTGTCTACTAAACTAGATTCCAAGGCCCTTAAGGGCATGTCTCCCATTTATATGCACCCTCAGCACCTGGCACCTGACAGTGGGAGTCATCAAGTGTCAGAGCCGGTAAAGGCCCAAGAGTGCTTTTGGAGGGATGGGGGATAGACACACCCAAGAACTGACTCACCAGCAGTGGTTTGCTTTGCTCTCCAGGGGGCTGTTGTGGTTCCGACTATAAACAGTACGTGTTTGGTGGCTGGGCCTGGGCGTGGTGGTGTATCTCCGACACTCAGAGGTAAGGGCCTGGGGCCTCCGGAACCGGGTGGGCAAGGGAGAAAAGGGTTTCCAGTCTTCCCCCCTTCACCCCACAGGTCAGCTAGGGCATCTACCATTTGCTACATTCCATTCTAGGGGGCAGGGGCCTCCTAAGAAGCAGGGAACATGGGTTGCACAGGTATGGAAGAGGTCTGCTGTGGGCACCTCCTCCTCAGGGGTGTGCTTTTTTCCATTGGAGGCATCACT